CTTGTTCTAAGTAGGTGCTTAGACCACTGAGCCATCTCTCCAGCCCTGTATAAATCTTAATCACTTGCATAACATGAATATCACAAAGCAAAAAACAGACCTTAAGGATTTAAATTATTTGTAATCTCCCAATTCCTTTCTCCCTTTTTTAAATACTGTCGGGCACTAAAAAAGTTTTTTAAAAATTAGTTGTATATAAAAATCAGTCTAATTTTTTTTGTGTGTGTACTAATTTTTAGCTCTTTTACACTCATAAACTTACAAAACAATTCCTTCATGGCTTTTGGGGTGGGCCTTAACAAGTTGTTGATGGCTTTCTTGTGGAAATAATATAGAACTTCCATTTTTTAAATACATTGTTACTGGTTTTAAAAATATTTTTTCTCCTGATTTCAGGTTGGGTGGGACTATATCAGCATACAAGATAGTACCAGATGAAATAGAAGAAATCAAGGTACAGTATGGCACTTTTCACCTCTACCAGGATCGGTATCTTGATGGGGATGTGGCAAAAGAACTGCTTTTCCTCATATCATTCAATCTTTGGTTATGCTCCCATTAAATGGCCATTTACTCTACTTGATTTAAAAATATATGTAATGGAGAATCTTTATCGCATTTCATCTACCATTTGCAGTAAATTTCTGAGAAAATTATTAAGAAATTCAAAAAGGAACACTTCCCTGAGATCATTAAAAATCTACAGAAAAAAAGCATTCTGTATATACATTTGTCTGTATAATGTATTATCTTTGTATCTTGCTGCAATTTGTTTTCCCTACAAGTCTTCACCAATAGCGGATAGTCAGTCTTTCCTAAATATTTCCTGATTTCTTTTTAAAATATAAATGATAATTTAAGTTAAGTATGTATGAAAACAAATAGTTGATCTTATCTTTCAAAAAATAGAGTATTACTATGTTCTTCTGTCTCATAACTTTTTACTAAGTCCTGTGGAATGTTTATCATCCATTACAACATGTTGCTCTCGCCTTGAAGCAATTTGCCATATATTCGGAACTGAGTTTTTTTGTAAGTGAAATTTAACAGTTGGATAACTGCAGAGAGAAATGAGCAACACTGTTTATGTTATTTATGTTTATATATAAAAACCAAGAAGCTAGTATATGTAATTATGTATTTATTTTAAATTTTAATGTAGTTGGTGCAGTGTCACACTACACAGTTCGGGCTCATGGTGATCCTCCTGTTTTCAGCCTCCCCAGCACTAGGATTACAGGCGCATATCACCATGCCTGGTCTCCGTGGCTGGCTCCGTGCACCTGGGGTCGTGGCCGCCATGGCCAATGGTGCTAGGGATAGAACCTGGTACCTGTGCTTGCCTAAGCAGATGCTTAATCCACAGAGGTATATCATGGGGCCCTCTAGACTTTTATTATTCATTGTAATTAAAACATTAATGATGTATACTACTTTTACATTATTTAGCCCATTGATCATTATTATGTGATATGCTATTTCATTATGTCAGCTATTCTAATATATGGTCAACTTCTGCAATTTATAAGATTGTTTTATTCTAGCACCCAAAAACAGTTTCAAGAGATTCATTCTAACTTGATGAACTGTAATTATAAAGGACCAAAGGAAAGGAACCTTATGTCTATGCTATATCCCTCTTTTTTTTTTTTTTTTTTAATGTATTTAGTATAGGGCCTAAAAGGTCTCACGAAACAGATTGGACTGGTAGTAATCCTCCTGTTTTCAGCCTTCCAAGCACTGGGATTACAGGTATGTGCTACCACACCCAGTCTCAGTCACCATCTCAGCATGCCCCAGGGGCGAGGCTGGCACAGCACGCTGGGAATTGAACCCCAATCCCTGTGTCTGCCTAAGCAGGCACTTTAGTCCGCTAAGCTATCTCAGCCAGCCCTTATATCCCTCATTTTTCAGATTTGAAAATGGAAAGAAAGATAAACTAGCAAGTGATTGTTTGATATTCAGTAGTTACTCTGTAAATATAATTAAGTACATGTTTTAAGGTCTAAAGCATGTTTGTTACTTCTTAAAATAGATTTTATGGTAAGTAAAAAATCTTGAACTCTAGAAACTTTAAGCACTCAATAAATATATAAAATATGAAACATTTATATAAAGAATATAAAGTTGAAATCCACTCTAAAGTTACTATGTCCTATAATATGATAGTCTTAATGTAGTCATAAAAATTCTGACAAAAATAGGTATAGAAGTACTTAACCTCCGGAAAGCCGTTTATGGCAAACACACAAGAAACATGCTAAAGGCGAAAAACCGAAAATAATTGCACTAAAATCAGTGACATGAATGTCCTATCTCAACACTTCTCTTTGTTGTAGTACTCAAAATTTTAGCCAAAGCAATCAGACAAGAGGAAGAAATGAGATTATGAAAGAAAAGGAAGAAGCCAAACTATCTGTATTTACATATAGTATAATCCTCTACACAGAAGACCAAAAAAGCTCTACCAGAACACTTACAGTGCTAATAAATTCAGTTACGTAGCAGGATGCAAAACCAACGAATATTGCAAAAAAAAAAATATTGTAATAATGTTCCTATACACTAACAGTAAACTCAGCAAATGAATCAGGAAATTAACCCCTCACAGTAACTTCAAAAAATAAATAAGAATCACCCTAATCAAGGAGGTTTAAGATCTCTATAATAAAAATTGTGGTACTTTGAAGAAAGTGATTAAAGAGAACATCAGATAGAAAAAAATTTTCTGTTCATTGAGAGGCAGAGTTGCTATTGTCAAGCTGGCATATTGCCAAAATTGACAAATAAATGTACTTCAATTCCTTTCAACAATATTCTTCGTAGAATAAGGGAAAGAAATAATCTAAAATTTGAAAGGAACTGAAGGAGACCAGAATAGCCAAAGTAAGCCTTAGCAAAATGCAAAGTAGAAAATATTACAATCCTGGATTTCAAGTTGTTCTTCAAATCTATGGAAATAGAAATAACATGCCACTGGGGCTGGAGAGATAGCTCAGGGGTCTAAGAGCCTGCCCAGCAAGCTCAAGGAGCCAGGTTCAATCCACATGCCATGCCACCCCTGAAGCTGGGTGTGGTGGCACACACTTGTAATCCTGTAAGCCCTAGGGAGGCTGAGACAGGAGGATCACTATGAATCCAATTGCATAGTGAGACCCTATACCACATAAATAAATAAAAGATTTTTTAAAACTTAATAACAAAAGAAATAGCATGTTACTGGCACAAAAAATGACATATAAGCAATGAAATAGAAGACACAGAAAAAACCTCATATACTTTTAGCCATTTGATCTTGGACAAAGGGGCTAACACATAGATAGGAAAGAGTTAACTTTTTAGCAAATGGTGCTGGGAAAACTGTGAGCAGAAGAATGAATCTAGAACCATATCTTTCACCTTGCACTCAAATAAAAGAAAAATGGATGAAAAACATATAAAAACAGTAACCCTGTAGCTTCCAGTAGACAAAATGGGGGGGAAAAAACTGAAGACAGACATAGGCGAGGACTTCCTCAGCAGAACTCCATAAACACAGGAAATAAAATTAAGAACTAACAAATAGGACTATATCAAATTAAAAGGGATTTGAACAATAAGAAAATAATAAACAGAGTGAACAGGTAACTTATAATTCCTCAAAATGAATATAGTTAATACATATCAGAATCATATACTAATAAAAGAAGGCAAGGAACAAAAAATATAAATGAATAAAATATACAATAATAATATAAGTAAGTAAAGTATTCTGGAAAAATACATAAAAGAGAACTTGGTCGTTTGAAAAAGAAAATCAGCAAAGTTCTTCCAAAATGGAAACTGCAAATGAGAGTTCTGTGCAGAAGCACAAGTACTTGTGAAAGAATGTATAGGAGATAATATGGCACCAGATCATAAGGTATAAAGTAAGCACTAGTGAGATACAGAGTTGGACATGGGTCTTTGTGCCATGTTGACAAATTTGGATTTTATCCTTGAATCAGTAGTGTATCCTTATGTGGCTTTAGGAAAGTAACACACCTAATTTGTTTGGTACTTTTTATAGTTTTTCTGTGAGTTACATAATAATGTTTTGCAAAGATGAAAATGTTATGAACAAGAAAAAGGAAACTGAATTGTGGAATTTGGAGTACACAATTATTAATAATTGAATTGAAGCTGTAGCAGTGAGGCTGAAGAAAAATGGACTAAAAAATATAATTTAGGAATATTGGCTAATTATTTGATCATTTAGTAGATGTTTAGGGGAAGAAGAAAAAGTTGACTCAGGTTTCTGGCTTGAAAGATTGAATGCATTTGTTGTTGTTAATTTAAAAGAACATATTAGAAAGGGAATACTTCTGAAAGCACAAAGAGTAAGTTTTAGACCTACTGAATTTGAGGTCTCATATCCACTAAGAAACTGTATAAATTGGCCTGGAATTCAGAAGAGAGGTACAGTCTACTGATTGATTTTTGAGATTTAAACTCATAAAGTTAGTAGAGGCTATGCTATTGAATAGAATCACATGTCAAAGTTATATGAGGTAATAAGAGTGGACTAAAGATGTGACACAGAGAAGGCCTAACCTGAAACCTGAGGATTAATACATATGCTATTTTATTAGTTAATTTGCACAAATGCTGCCTATTAATGGAGATGTATCAACTGGTTTTATTATTATTTTTAAAACCTCTATAGCTATAAATTGTCTCTCAAGAGATTCCTTTAAAAATATGGTTTTGAGGTGTTACATCACATGATTTTCCTATAAATTACTGCTACTATATCTAAAATAGCTCAGAAACTTTGATCCCTGAGGCATAAAAATGGACAGTTGATCTTGCTTTCACAAACGGGTGGGAGGGACTATTTCATCCACATTTCTTGGCATCATTAGCATTCTCACCTAAAATCAGATATAATCTCTTTTGTTTTGCCCATCTACAATATTCTGTGTAGTATTAGAGTGACACTTCACATGGTGAAAGATGAAAAAGTAGCTCCATGCTCAGCCCTACTAATATAATCAGTTGTTATGGCTTGCATCTAGATGTCCCTTACACAGCCTCATGTCCTCATAGGGGGCACTTTTCAGAGGTAGCTGTATCTAGAATGTGTGAATATGGATTAAGGGTGTGATACTGGAATTAAGTGTGTATGGTACTAGATTAGTCCACTAATTAGTTTGTCATGTTCTGGCTGTGGGTAATGAGAAGCCCCTCAGTAGGTATGGGTGGCACCCATTGAAAAGGCTTGTAGCATGGACGGAGTAAAAGGGAAAAAGCTATTCTTTGCTGCTTGCTCTCTTGCTTGCCATGGACTTTTTCTCTGCCATACCATGATACCTGGGAGCCAACAGATTATAGACTGAAACCTGTACAAACCATGAGCTGAAATAAATGTTTCCTCCTTCAATGTGTGAGTGTTGGTTTTTTTTTTTTTTTTTGTTTGTTTGTTTTTGTTTTTGC